GATAATCTGTTTAAATATTGTATCAGATTGGCAATATAAAGCCATAACGGAAAAAACAATTTCCCCTTGTACTGAGGGCTGGATACACAGGGCATGGATAAAGCACGGCCCGCAAGCTGCTGCAGAGCACAGTTGATTCCTATTAGGAAAGAGAAGTAAATGTATCCTGTTTAACTTTATTAGCCACAAAGCTCAGATAATGAATTTAAAATAAAACCACCCTCAGTCACCAGCAATTGCTTATCTACTAGATGTATATATTTAGCTAGAATCAAATCAATTCACCTAGATGCAATAGTCACAAAGTTCAGCACCTCAGCCTGCCACTGTGACCACATCTCCCCCACATCTACACCTGGGCACGGCCGCCCTCTTCCTCACTGCTGCAACCACAAGTTATTTGTCTTCACCCTCAAAGCCCTTCCCAGCCAAGAGCATCTGCCATGGAGGTGGTGGCTCCTGTCTCTGTGCGGCTTGTGATGCCAGCCCCAGCACTGCCGAGCTCAATTCTCAAACCTTTGTACCTTTCCTACAACCGTGGGAGAAACTTTGCAAAATATCCATAAAACCACCCTGTGATTCTCCTCCTAATTCCTTCTCTGCCACACCTACAATCCTTGATGAGGTTTAGGCGGCAAATATGTCAAGTTCAAACCTGTCTTGGACTCTCCTTACACATATCACTTGGTTATCTCTCACCTCAGACAGACTGTATTTCCACTGCATGGGGAACATCTCCACATTCTGTCTGCACAGCACCTAGCACAGCTCTGGCCCACAATTTAATTTTAATTAAGCAATAAAGTAGCAGTTCACCATTTTTAAAGAGTAGGTTAAAGACAGAGGGTGCATGTGATGGTTTCAGAAAGTCACACAGGAGAAGGTGACATGGGGAATGACCAGGGGCTTACTTGAGCCAAATATCCTGCCTTCAGCAGTGGATATCTGAGGCTATATTTGTTGTCCAGAGTGCAATCCTGCACACAGAGCTGGAGGAGGGGAGCCCTTTCTGACAAGTGCACTGATTAGCTGGTGCCCTGAAGAATGACGTTTGATTACCTTTATCTTCGGCTGCAGAACTGCAAATGTCACTAATGGTCATAAAATCACCCAGTCTTTTTCAAAATACAACCGAAGTAAATTAATCTATTGAGCACAGTTTATTCAATACTTCTTACTCTGGCAAAACTCCCAAAAAAATCATTTGCTTGCTGCATGTCTCCACCATATGGTGTCATTCAATGCAGACTTTCTTTCCTGCATTGAAATCCAAAATTTAATGGAGTCGAGTCACCTACAGAGTTTTTCCAGCTCAAACCTACTAACACAATTTTCTGTCAAAGAGGTCACACAGCACTTTCTGGTTTGGTATATGAACCAATACCAGCATGAATTCTCCTTTCATAATTAAAATCAAACTCCTCTAGTTTTAGCAAGTTTGAAGGGAGCGTTTTGCCCTGCACAGAGAAGAGCTGATGATCAGCACTGGACAATGTCAGCAGTCTTTGTCTGGTTTCAGAACTTGAAAGTCTTGGCCAGTTGCTGGTATACTGTCCTATCTGCAGGTAGTTTCTCATATCAACGTCTCAGCAATCAGTAAAATAAACCAAAACCACGACATGAAACTGTAGTGGGAAATTAACGCAGTGAGGCACTATTAAAGCTCTTGAAAGCTTGCCTTTTTTTTTTTTTTTTTTTTAAAAAAAAACGGGGTCATTTTAAATAGAGCCTTAGTGCCAAACAATGAGGGGCAAAAGAAAGAAATTCTGGGTACTAGGCACCCCTACAGCAGGCAACAGAGATGCTGGTTTTACTAGAAACATGAGCTTGAGACTAGGAGAAAAATGCCTGACCATGATGCTGGTATTTCATCTGCTCCAACAGATCTGCCTAGACACTCCATGACTCAGTTTCCTCAACTGTAAAATGGGGCCAATCTTTGATAAACCCTGGTTTTCACACAGTGACGTCACCTTCAATCAATGGTTTTAGAAAAACACTGGCCATCCTCTGGCCCTGCCATCTATCAATAATATACCATCTCACTCAGTAAAGATTGTTATTTCAGTGATGAGGAAGCCACAAGCCCGGCTTCACACAGCATTTCCTAAACTTTGGAAAGCAGCACATCCTTTCATGTAGAAGCCTCCCTCCGCCCTTGCTGTGTGCCCACCACAGATGCTGCTTAACGGCGCCAAAGACTTCAGTGCTACACGTCCCTTGTGCTATGCAGTTTTATGGCTCATCTTTCCCACTGTGCTCCACCTATGACCTTCCACCACCTCTGCCCCACAGCTGTGAGAAATGCTGGTATGCTCTGCAGGAGACACTTCCCCTCTGTACTTACTCACTTGGATGAACACTGAAATAATTTAAACCTCAGCATTAACCCTCTTATCACTGGAGCTGAAGCAAACAGTCATTGAAGGGGGTTTAAGCACTTCCCAATGCAATCATGACATGCCAGAAACATGCTCATGGGCAGCTACCACAGCTCAGATGACAAGCAGTAAATTGTTACATCAAGCTATCTGTATGATTTCTGACTGTTGACCCACACTCCCAGGCTGCCATAGCTGCTTTGTATATATTTGCTGGTGTTTCAAAGAGTTTCTACCACTAAGGATTATTCTGTTTGAGCGAAAGTTGAGAACCCAGGGAAACAGTATGCAGTTCTGTCCAGCCCAGCCAGTCCACCAGGCACCCCGAAGTGCCACCCACCCTGCCTGAGAGGCTGCAATTCAAAAAACAACTCCCAGAAATGAAAAATAGACAAAGAGGCAGTAAAATGTATCAAATAACATGAACACTGGAAAACACCCAGTCCACCCTTTCCACACACAAAGCGCTCAGATAACAGCAGCCAGATCCCAGACTACACCATCTTATCGGGACATCACAAGCAGAAGAGCAGATTTGGCCAGCAGCAGCTGTGGGCCAAATGTGTCCCACAAAGCACCACACTGCTGGAGGCAGCTGCCCTCATCTTTACAGCAGATGTCCATCCTGTGATGGCTTTGGTGTCTGGTGTGACATGCTCCATCATCAGCTGATCTAAAATAGAACAGATCCCACAGACCTTATCTCAGTCTCCTTCTCTGTGGCCCAGCAGGTGAGGACGCAGCCAGCATTAACCCAGTGAAGATGAGGAGCTACCTTTACTGCTCTTGGTTACATCTCTTTCCGGGCTGTCCACTTGCATGAATCCAGCTTGTGTCCAGAGGTCTCCTGGACAAAACATAGCTTTGTCCTTGGGAAAGCTCTTTCCCCATTGCGATTTCCTGTTGCCTGTGCTCTCTGCACACGCTGCATCCTCAGCAGCGGCTCCTGCACCTACCACAGCTCTCTCTGCCCCAACCCTTCCTTCAGTCCTTGCTGGACTCTTCAAGTATCCAACTTGCCCACCCCAACTACTCCAGCATCTAAATCCAAGTTGTTTCCAACACCCCTGTCCATCATCCAATTCTGCCCCAACCTTGATTCAGACTATACTACAGCCTCACTATGCCCTGCCTGTCTCCCAGCATTGCTCTCCACCCTAACCAGATCCTTCACTGCACTCAAGACCCCGATTCCTCCCTTCAATCCACATTTCTCCCTCTCAATTATTTTATCCTATTGAACACTTCTTTCCTCCCTGGGTCCTCTCTTTCTCTCATCAGCATCAAAACGCCACTTCCAGCCCTTCCAACTCTGTATTCCTATCTCTTCTTTTCAGCCCTGACTGTCCTTCACCTCCCCAGCCCCTTGCAGAAACCCCCAGAGCACACATCCCAGAAAACTAGCCTAACCAGCCAACACTGACTGGATTTTCCCAGGGACTCACCAGACCATTCATCCCACCCAACTGGCAGATTTCTTTCTGCCCCTGAGCACTGTGCCCTCAGTCCCATCCATCACTGAACACCCAACCCCTTCATCCATGCACTCTCTGCTATGGCTGAACTCCCTTTATAAGACTGTTTATCAACAACTGGCCCTTCCACCTCAGCAAGCTCTTCCATAGTTTACTCAACTTCTGTAGCCAGGATCCAAGCCCCAGTGTGGCCCCCTCCCACCCTGGCTGGATTGTCCAGTGTCCCTTCACAGTCACAGATGCTCCCAGACTCTCCAGTGTCAGTCCCTGAACGCTGTCCTCCATCCTTCACAGGCTCCTCCATTGCTCCTTTCCTCCTCAAGCGAGCCACTGCCATCCTGCTCCCCAGCCTTTCTAAGCACTCAACCCTCCATCATCCCTTCCATACCTTGACTGAATCAATGCCAGGCAGGTTGATCCCATCCCAACAAAGGCTCCCCAATAGCATCCTCAAGCCTCCCTGCCCCTGCCAGGGCCTGATTGAACTCCCCTCTCCAGGTCCCCCATAACCTCCAGGTCCCCCATAGCCTCCAGCTCCTGCCAGGGCTCTGGCCCCTGTCAGCATCTCCCGTGGCTGGAGGCCCCAAATTTACACTGTCCCCAGCCCTAGCAGCACCTCTTTGCCTGGGCGCCCCCAACCCCCTTAGACCCAGGCCCCCAGGCCCGACTGGATGCTCCTGCCCCAGGCTCCCCCCAGATGCCCCCCCCCGGCCCGCCAGACCCACGGGTGGGTGTCGCCAGCCCTCACGGTCCTACGCCTGCCCGAGCTTCTGCCGTCAGTCACGGCCAGGCACGCCGGCCCCGAGGCCCGACAGGCCCCGGGTGGGTGTCTCCGGCCCCCATTACCCCACACACCCCCACGGTGGGCGCCCGCGACCTAGGGCCTGCCAGGCCCCTCAGGTAGGCGCCATCAGCCCCGTTACCCGCCCGGCCCGGGCCCAGCACCCCCCGCCCCACTCACCATCCTCCGCGCGGCTCCGGGGTTACCATGGGCAACTGCGTCACACACCCGCCGCCGCTACGTACAGCGTCAGCGCTTCCCGCCGTACGTACGGAACGTGACGACGTCTAGGCGGGAGGGGCTGAGCCCGGCGCCGCGATCAGCCCCGCCCCCTCCAACTGCGCACGCGCACAAGGGGGCTACCACAGCCGCGGCGGGCGGGGCAACGCTGCAGGGGAGATGGGCGCGGCCGCTCGGGCCTCTGTGATTGGCTGAGGGCGGCCACGCAACGCAGCCCCGGGGGGCGGGTGGGGGCCGCGTGGGCAGGCGACGGCGCGCGACGAGGGTCTGGGGGTTGCAGGTAAGGGCCGCGTGGGGCTGCGCCGCGGCGCGTGGGGCGGGGCCGTGCAGCGCCGTGCAACACCGCGGGGGGGGCCCGTGCGGTGCTGTGCGTGCAGTGCCCGGCGCTGCGGGGAGCGTGCGGGGCCGTGTAGTGCACTGGGGGTGTGCAGCGCGGTATGTGGGAGGCGGGGCGAAGCACGGGAACGCTGCAGAGGTGTTGCCGCCTGTGCTCCGGAGGGCGTGCAGTGCAGGGCCAGGGAGGGTGCCGCGTTGTGCCGCGGGGGCAAGCAGTGCCTTTGGGGACACGCAGTGCCTTTGGGGACACGCAGTGCCTTTGGGGACACAGTGCAGTGCCTTTGGGGACACAGCGCAGTGCCTTTGGGGACACGCAGTGCCTTTGGGGACACAGCGCAGTGCCTTTGGGGATACAGCGCAGTGCCTTTGGGGACACGCAGTGCCTTTGGGGACACGCAGTGCCTTTGGGGACACAGCGCAGTGCCTTTGGGGACACGCAGTGCCTTTGGGGACACGCAGTGCCTTTGGGGACACAGCGCAGTGCCGAGGACGCGGTGCCACGCTGTGTGCACATCTCGCGGGGTGGTGGTGCGGTGTCGGGCCCCAGTGGGGAGCGCTCACAAGTCAGTGCTGTGCAGCCCTGGGGAGGGGGCGCGCTGGGCTCCACGGTGCTGTGCAGCACAGTCCCACCCCAAGGAGAGGGTGCTGAGAGGTGGCAGTGAGAGTGGGGGGACCCCATGGAGGCAGGGTGGTGTGTGAAGGAGTGGCCTCGCTGCAGCCTTCAGCCGGGGTGCAGGAGGCTCCCGGGCTCAGGGCTGCTGAAAGTCCAACTTTCCCGTTAAATATAAACCTGCTACAGCTCTCACCCGGTTAACCACTCCTGTGGCCGTCGCAGGCCTGCACTCAGTGGGCAGGTGAGGCAGGATCTTCCTCAGCTGCTTTTTCCCCTTGCCCAGACCCACACCAAAATGGCCACCGCCCCCCTGGTCTTCAATATTGATGCCCCGCGCTGGGACCAGAGCACTTTCATGGGACGCCTGAAGCATTTCCTCAACATCACTGACCCGCGGACAGTGCTGGTGCCGGAGGAGGAGCTGGACCGAGCCAAGGCGCTGGTGGAAGGCTGCAGGTACCTGACCGCTCTGCGGGGCCACGGGGAGCGGAGGCAAGCGTTCCCAAGCGGCTGTGCTGGGATGTAACATCAGTCGGAGGTGGTTTTGGGGGAGTTTCCCAGGCTTCTTCCAGGAGCCTCAAGCTGTGACAAGTTTCCCTCGCGGGAGATGTTTCATCTGCCTTTCATGTTTGGCGCCTGGGGCTCTGTGCCCCAGCCGTGCCAGGTGCCAGCGGGTCTGTGTGGCTCTCCCCGACGGGCTCTGGGCTTGCAGGGCCGGGTTGGTGCCGCCGGGAAACAGCCGGGAGCAGCTGCTCTACGCCAAGAAGCTGTACGACTCGGCCTTCCACCCTGACAGCGGCGAGAAGATGAACCTCATTGGGAGGATGTCCTTCCAGGTGCCAGGGGGCATGGCCCTCACCGGCTGCATGCTCCAGTTCTACCGGTGAGCTCCCAGGGACGCAGCTCTGACAGCCCCCAGCCCCTCAAGGGGTCCCTGGTGGCCGGGGTATGGCCAGTCTGCCTCCTTTGGGGCTGGCTGCTGCCTGAGGCATGCCCACGGCAGCTGTGCCTGCCTGCATCCCGTGGCCAAGCCCCGTGTCCCTGTGCCCCGTCCCCAGCACCCAGCCTGTGGTGGAAGCATCACGGATCCTCCCAGTTCCCAGCATGGCTGGGGATGGTCTCGCTTCACCCTCAGCTCAGCTCTTCCTAGAGCCCCTGTAATGATTAACACAGCCCAGTTCTCAGTGGCTGCTGGTCTTGCTCTGTGGACCACAACAAACATGGAAACCAAGGATCAAATGTGTCCCCAGGCCAGGCTGCTCCAGTGTCCCCAGCCCATGCCAACAGCTCCCTGCATTTTGCTTCTGAAATGGCTGGGAGGGCAGGGGGATGGGAAGCAATCCTGTCACAGGCACAGAGACTGTGTGGGACATATACTGCCTTTCCCAGTGGATCCTCCTCCCATCCCATCCCTGTTTGCTGGACTGGTTTGCCGTTTGCTGGTGAGGTCCAGCCTCGGCCTGGGTGGGGGATCTCCCAGTGCTGATGGGTCACTCTCCTTCCAGGCCATCTCTATCCTCCTTCATCCCAAAGCTTGCTCAGACCCATATCTCCCCCTGTCCCCTCCCACCCCACCTCAGTGTCCCTGAGACACCAGGAGGAGCCCAGGTCACCCCCAGAGCTACGTCTGTGCCACCTCCTTGCCACTCCCATTGACAAAGGCTTATCTCAGCCCAGCAGGGTGGCTGCCGCCCTGCTGAGAGCTGGGTCTCCCGCCCCTGGCTGAGCACCCCACATGGCTGGGCCCCCTCCAGTGCTCCTCAAAGCCCCATGGCAGCCAGGACTCCTGAGGTCATTTCCCAACTCTGCCACTGGCTCATGGCTTTGCTGCTGTGCCTCAGTTTCCCTTTAGAGACACCATGACAAGTGTATTGAGGGCATCCTGGCTGTCCCTGCCATGCCTGGCCACGGGCACAGCCCTCGGGTGCTCTCCTGATCCCTTCCCTCTGCAGCACGGTGCCCGCTGTGGTTTTCTGGCAGTGGGTGAACCAGTCCTTCAACGCCATCGTCAACTACACCAACCGCAATGCTGCCTCCCCCATCTCACTGAGGTGAGCGTGCCCCACACAGGATGAGGACCCTCTGTGTCGGGACCCCCTTGGATGCCCCTTAAAGACCCCCTGTGCCCCATCTTGGGCACCAAAGGAACAGGATCAAGTTGAAGTTGGTGTTTCTGTTCTCTCCCTTCTTTGGAAATCACTGTCCAGGCAAATCGGGGTGGCTTACATCACAGCCACCAGTACAGCCCTGGCCACTGCAGTGGGACTCAACCTCTACACCAAGGTACACCGGGCCAGGGCTGGGTGGGGCAGCTGGCCTTATCCTGCCCTCCCGTGCTGACACCAGCCCGTCTCCCGCAGCGAGCACCCCCCTTGCTGGCCCGATGGGTCCCTTTTGCAGCGGTGGCTGCTGCCAACTGTGTCAACATCCCCATGATGCGGCAACAGTAAGTGCCACGCGTGGCTGGGGTGCTTGAGGGTCCCAGCTCCCTCCAAAGGCAAGCTGGTGGCAGCCGGGCTCCTGGGCTGCCGGGTTGTCCTGCCGTGGTTTCCCATCCCGGGGGCTGGAGGGGGTAGGAGGACGGGAGGGAGGTGAGCCAGGGTCTGCATGTTTGCAGTGCCGGGTCTCTGGTGGAGGGTGCTGGGTGGGGTGGCTCAGCCTCTGCCTGGAGCAGGAGGGGGATTTGGGGCTGAGGATAGCCATTCTGGGGTCTGGGCTGGATGGTCCCTCAGACCCAAAGGTTTTGTGCGTGTGGTCATGGGAGAGCCCCAGCTCATGATGTCCAGGGGGCCCATATGAAGACCCGTGTCTGCTGCTCAGGGTCCCCCACAGGTCATGGCACGGGGAGCTGGGGTGTTCTGTGAGGGACTGTCCCCTGGCTCGGCTGCGGGTCCCAAGCGGGTGTCTGTTCCCCAAACGGCCAGACCCTGTTCGCAGCCATGCCCTGAAGATGGCAGCATTGGCTGGGCTGGGGACCACAGTGCTCCGAGGCTTTGGAGCCCTGGGGACAGGGCTGGGGGCAGCAGGGGCTGCTGTGCCAACACAGCACAGGGGACCCCATTGGCACCCCCTCACCCCATTGCTGTGTCCTCACACTTCCCTGACCATCCTGGCCCCCACTGACAGCTGCTTGTCCCCTCCAGGGAGATCATCAATGGGGTCACGGTGACAGATGGGGACAATAACGAGCTCGGTCGCTCCAGGGTGAGTCTGGGGATGGGGGTCCTGGTTGGGTCATGGAGTGGCAGTGGCTCACCTGCTGCTTTTGCTTGCAGAGGGCGGCAGCGAAAGGCATTGCACAGGTTGTGTTCTCCAGGATCACCATGGCGGCACCAGGCATGAGTGAGTGCAGGGCAGGAGGGTCGGGGGCCAGACCAGGGGCTCCCCCGGGACCCACTGCCTCACCCTCCCCTGCTTCAGTTTCCCCCAATAAGGAGTGTGGCCCTGCATCCCAGGTGGTGTTTGGTCTCATCTCACTGACAGAGCTGGTCTCCCCATCCTTCCATTCCCATCAGAGTCCTCTGAGCCCCCAGCCCTTCTCATCCCAACCCACAGCCAATGGGGGATGTGGGGTGCTCCCACAGCACTTGGGCCTCACAAGAATGCCTCTCGTGCTCTCTGGTCCCTCACCTCGCAGCCTGGCATGGCCTCGCCCTCGCAAGACCATTGCCATGCCACAAGCCTGGCGAAAGGGATGGGAACATGAGGAGCATGGGCCATGCTGCCCAGGTGGTGCATGGATGGATGCATGGATGGATGGATGGATGGATGGGGGTCCTGTGCCAGGCCTCTGCTGTGAGCAAACACCCAGTGGCCCCCCAGCACAACTAGCCACTGTCATGGCCTCCAGGAGGATGGTCCTGCTGGGACTGCCCTGTGGGCTAGCTTGCAGGGGGGCCCTGACCTTTTCTCTCTGCACCTAGTTATTTTGCCCATCATCATGGAGCAACTGGAGAAATTCCCCTTCATGCAGGTGAGCCCATATTTCTCCTGCCATGGCTTTTCCTTGGGCCCTGTAGTGCCCCAGCCCTGCTCCCCAGGCACCAAGACAATGGGGGTAAAAGGGGGGGTGGCAGAGCCCGGCTTGTTTTGCCACCTGTTTGAGTCACCAGTACGCCAAAGGTCTTTTGGGTGACATGGAGAGGCTGCGGGAGGGTGTCGTGGGTTGGTGGCACCCCAGAGGTGTTGGGCATTCAGCCCCACGGAGAGGAGAAGTCTTCCCGCTCTGTGAGTGGGGCTTGTGAGGCCGGAGACTCACTCTGGGCTCTTCCCTTGCAGCGGATCCGGGTTCTCCATGGGCCTCTGCAGGTGCTGCTCTGCGGGGGCTTGTAAGTATTTCACTGCTCAAATGCCTGTGGGTGCCTGGAGCGTGGCTTTGAGGGATGCTTGAAAAAATACCTTTCCCAGCAGGGGACTGCAAAGCTGCTTGCCTTTCAGCCTGGGTTTTCCCCAGTTATTGGAAGTCATGGGGCATGAACAGCACCTCTTGGGCTGAGATCCCTGTGGCTGGAGGGCAAACGGGCTGCAATCCCCAATACTAATGCTCAACTCTTCTCTCCCACAGCCTCCTGTTCATGGTGCCAGCAGCCTGCGCCCTGTTCCCACAGAGATGGTACATGTCCCACTGCTTTCCCCTCCTGTGCAGGACTTCGGAAGCCTTCCTCCTCCCCTTAGTCTTCTTTGCCCATCCCAGGAGAACATGATGGGCACCCACCCTTCAGCCCGAGGCAGTGCCTGCCTGTACATGCTGGTGCCCTGGGCAGCAGGAGTGTGCGTGCCTCCCCTGCTCTGTGAGCTCTATGCTGGGAGCAATGGGAGTCCCAACCCCAACAAGCAACTTTCTCACCCCCAGCACTGGGAACAGTGGATGCCAGGGATGGGTGGTGGGTCTTGACTTGAGCCTGCAAGATCTGAGGGACTGCAGGGGACCTCACATGGCAATGGGGAGGGTGGCCTGACCAGTGGTCAGGGAGGAGGATTGCAGGTCTCAGTAGTGTCTATCCCCTCTCCCCACAGCTCTCTTGCACTGGCTGACCTCGAGCTGGAGCTGCGTGACAGCATCGTGGCCAAACATGGGGACAAAGTGCCATACGTCTATTTTAACAAGGGACTGTGAACAGACTACCTCAGGAGCTCTCACACCCCTCCAGCCCCCTGCCACCACCAGCCCCACATCCCCTGAGCAGGGCTCAGAGGCACAGTCCAGCCAGATCTGCATCCCAGCCCAGCACCATCTCTGATGCCTCCTTCCCCCAGAGAGGCAGGATCTGGCTCTGCATGCCCAGCTTGCAGCACTTTGGTTTCTTCTGAGCCTACCCCCATCTGCTGCTGGCCATGTCCCTGCCTCCCTACGTCCCTCTTGCCCTAGGCAATGGTTGCACTTCTTGTGCCTTCCTCCTGCCCTGTGCAGGAGGATCTGCCCAGCTTGTCTAAGCCTCAGCCCTGCTAGGCATCAGGCTCTCTCCCTCAGGGCTCAGAGCACAGTCCTACCTCCGAAAGCGGTTGCTCTGCCATTGCACCAGGGACCAAAGTACGTTGCTGCCTTAAACCACCACAGTGGCCTCTTACCAAGAGCTGAATCACGCCTTGGCAGGTAGGAAGGGACCTGTCCCCTCTGCACAGGGGAGCACCCCAAAATCCAGGGACCAATACTTGGCCCGTGCCTTCCTTGCTCTCACGTTCAGATTTTATTCACTTTGTGATTACCACAATCCAGGAGATAAACAGCTAATTGTATTAAGCTCTCATTTTTGCAATCTACCTACTCCTCTGAGCATGAGAGTCAGCAGTCACCCTTGTCCTCCATCTCAGTGTTTCCACAGTAGGACAAAGGACCTGCAGCTTTGGGGGACACTCGACTCTGGTCCCCCTTGGGCAGGGGGAAGGAGACACAAGAGTCACAAAGCTGTCAAGGCAGTAACTCCAGCTCTGAATAGCAGCACTGCAAATGATAAAGAGGAGAGTTAAAAAATAAAATGCGGTGATTTTTAAGAAACAGCTGTAGGTTCTGCTTTTGGCTGGTCTGTGGGTGTCTGGGCAGGGTGGTATGTGGGTCTCATGCCTGCCTTGAAAGGGAGAGGTGCGGGCTCTGACTGACCAGGCACTAGGGTGAGGGTCAGCACGGGGGCCAGGAGAAGGAGGAAGAGCTGTGAGGCTCTGCAAGGGCTGGCATGAGCCCTGAAACCCTTGGGAATCCCATGCAGCCTTCACTGAGAGGTTCTCGGGGCTGCAAACTGTCCCAAGACAAGGGACAAAGGGAAATGACAGTGCTGTGCTCATGGTGACTCTCATCCAATTGGGGGGATGACACTGGGTGATCCTTCCTATACCCATGGGTGCTGTTTGTCTTCTTGGCCAGTCAGCATTTGCATCATGCTAATTTAGGTCTGCCACGAGGCCTCCCCCACTCCAAAGAAGAGCGGCTCGAGTTTGCTGCAGCCTATTTTCAGAGGAGGAAGGAGCCGCAGAGTTTAGCCCAAGTCCTGGGCCAAAGTCCCTGCCTTCAACCAGGCACTCTGCTGATGAACATCCTTTGGTGGGACAAGCATGTTTCTAATCAGCAATATGATGTGGCTGCTTGGAGAGCCTCATGGCCCAAGGGGTGGTCCACGGTCATCCCTCCAGCCAGAGATACGTCACATCCCTGAGGGCAGCGGCATCCCTCCATCAGCCTCTTGCCCAAGTGCAGACACAGGGTCTGCAACCAAATGGCTTTCTGGCATTAGCTGCTCTGCTTCTACAGAGAGAGCAGCCAAACCCAAAACGTACTTCTTGAAGGGCCATGCTGTATCCACAGCAGGTTTGCTTCTGCCCAAGCTGCAACAGGCAGAGGATAACATCTCCAACCGCATGTAGCTACAGCTAGAAAGCTGCACAAGAACTCTGAAATAAATAATAGGTCAGCGGAAAGTAGGAAAATGTGTTCAAACTTATGTATCTGTTCCCTGGGCATTATTAGATCTCTTGTTAATGCACAATTAAAATAATAGATAAGCACATGAAATGAAACAGATGTCACTCCTGTTGGGAATGGGAAGAAGCCACAAGAAGACATCTCTGCTCTCTGCTTTTCTTAAGCTCTTTAACTCAAGTTGCTCTTTCCCTACACCCAAAACTGCTTTGAGCACTTTCAGAAAGGCACCTCTAGCAGTCTGTGCTGTATTTGGGTCCAAGATGCCTCTGACATGCTCGGGAGCACAGCAATGTTTGTAAAATTATGTGCTGCAGCATCCTAAAACTGCCCTTCCCCTGCGCATCGCAGCCATGCTCTTGGTGTTCACCCTTTCTGCATTTGCAGGGTGCAGGGGTCCCGGCAGAGCAGGGGACTCCGCAGCCAGCAATGCCAGGGCAGCAGCCACCCAAAGCCAGGGTTGGGACCATGGTAGGAAAGCCTCAGTGGTTTTGTCACTCCTTTTTTCCTGTCCCCAGCCATACCAGAGGAGCAATGGAGCAGGGGAAACCTCTGAAGAGATATTGCCATCTTACGCCAGTTCTTCCCCTGCCCTGGGGAGTGGGACATGGTGCAGTTTGTTGCTCTTGGCCAGAGGAAGAGGGTTGCTCTGGGCTTGAAGGACTGGCAAGCCATCCTCAAGCCAGACTTCCCTGCTGAGCTTATAGCAGTGGATTCCCTCTTCAGATCGACATGGATCTGTCAGCTGACAGTTTAGCTCAGCAGAGTTTCTAGGTTATAGCTGGACTTTCCCCTGGAAGATTCAAGTCATCTCAACAGCTCATGTTGCTCCAGTGTCCAAAGATGGTCCAGCGCCTGCCTGCACTCCCCAAAACCACAGTAACTCCCCAGCCTGCCTTAGTCTCGCTGGGGAGCAGAAAAGTCGCAGCCAGGCTGCAGCCAGCAAGTCCCCGTTCTGCCAAGGGTGGCTCCAGCCAGCCCTGCCTCCATTTCCCATTGCTGCAACAGGAAGGAAACCTCATTGCCAGGAGTTAAAGCTGGACTTAACCCTGTTTGGAAATAGCTGCAAGTGTTAATTGCTCTCCAGCAGTGAGTCACACCTGATCTGGGCTTGTCCTGTGCTCTGGTGCACTCAATGCCTTCTCCCTGCTGTACCTTTAATTTCAGTGCTAGCTGGGAACAGGAATAAAGCTCCTTTAATAACTGTGCGTGGCCAAAATGTCAGTGCTCCAGCATGTTTACAACCCTCCTTCAAATGATAACCAGATCAAAGACGTCATGTTGGGCTGCGGCAGAGCCTGAGGAGGGGCTGGGGAGGCACGGGAGGCTGGGGGTCTCCTATGAGGCATCAGCAGCGCTGGTGGGCAGGCTTGGCTCCCTGCTCCTCACCCAAAGACCAGTGGAGGCTGGTGAGCTGGCTGCCTACGGACAGAGGAGCTAGCAAGGTACACATGCGATGGGTTAATACCTGCCAGCCCACGCATGCAGCAGGTGGGCGAGCTGATCCAGCCAGGTTAGGTGTGCCCCGAGTGCTGCCCTGATTGAAAAATGCCAGGGTCGGAGATAAGCTGCTAAGCCAATCATTTTTTTTTCTGGCTTTTCTTAACTAGTGATCTGAGCATCTGATAAACTTTGTCATGCCAATCCATCATGGAGGCTGCCTGGGGAGCTGGGAGAGGCAGTGTAGAAAGCCTCTGCCACTGCCCCAGAAATAGCAGTCATCTCCCTGGAGCTGGGAATTAACCCCAAGTGCCGGTGTCCCCACCTCACCCAGGGGTGGAAGCCCAGGCAAGGGACTGCTGTGTGGGGACATGCCAGGACCCAGCCATGGTGGGAGATCCTCTTCACGCTGCTCCTATCTCCTGACAGGGCTGGTACCAACACGTGGCTGCCTGCCGGGTGCCTCGCGTCCACCCCTATGCTGCTGCCACCACTTTAGCACCCTCTCCATGTCAAGGTCCCCAGTGTGCCCCAGGTGCAGGTGGGATGTTCGAGTTTGGGGGTCTGTGGGTGCATTGGGGAGGACACCGAGCAGGGATCACAGTAACCGGGTGTGACCAGGTGAATGGAGGACGAGTGCCTGGCTGCCATTGGGGTGTCAGGAAGGCTGTAGCAGGCCAGAGGATGCTTGTGTACCCCTCTTTTTGCCGTACCCAGTTCTGCCCCCGGCGGCCCATTGCACTGGAGGTGCAGGACCAAGGGGCAGCCCCCCACGCCCCCCCCAGCCAGTTCCGCCACACACAATATGGCAGCCCTCTGGCCACTCCAGGCTCCCTCCCCGGTGAGCCACACTCAAGATGGCAGCTCCCTGTACACAGACCCCGCCCCTCCCGGTTCTGCCCTAAGCGACAGCGCACTAAGCCAATGGCGAGCCAACTGGCGTGCCGTCCGCCCAATAGGCGACCGGCTAAGGCGGGGCGGGGCGCGGGGTGCCCCCTCGGCTCCCGTCCCGGGCCGCAGTCGGGCTGGGGAGGCGGGGAGCGGGGGGTGGGGGGGATGGCGAGGAGGCTCCGCGCCGTGATGGCCTTGCTGTTGTTCCAGGCCCTGCCCGAGGGGCTGCCCGCCAGCGTGGAGCCTGCCCAGGTAGGGGCTGCCCTGGGGGGGGCACTTGGGGGGGGTGGTTTTGGGGTCGCGCCGTGCTGGGGGGCTGTGTCCCGGGGGGGACGCGCAGTTCTGGGGGGGCAGCGGTATGAGCGCGGGGGGATGTGCCCTTCGGGGTGAGGGAGGTGGCCTTTGGGGTAGGGGGTCAGGCTGTGCTGGCAGGGGTGGGAGCGTGCATGGGGTGCCCGGGGCTCCCGGGGCTGGGGGAAGAGGCTTTTGGGGGTCTGCCTAAGGTTTGGGGAGCCCCCTTGGCTTAAGTGAAGCTGGAGGAGATGCAGAGACCGGAGTTTTGGGGTGCTCGTGTGTCGTGCGGATGGAGAGGTGTTGCACGGATCTAGGTATGGGTGGCAGTGCCTCTTGGAGGTGCTTTGGGACGTGGAAGAAAGGTGTGGCAGCAGGATGAGGAAGAAAGATGTTTAGTGGTGGTTGACTGGAGATGATGGGAAAGATGGCTATAGTGAGGGCAGGAGGCTTGAGCTGGCAGCTGCGCTGGGGTCTGTGGATGGGGGTGCATGTGTCTTCTCGGAGTGGTGACAGGAAAGAAGGTGGCCTGTGAGGGGATGGGGCTGGAGGAGGTTTGGGATGGGCTGAAGGGTGGCCGTGGGGCAGCTGGCCAGAGGACTTCAGTTGGCAGGGAAATGGGACTTGTGTGGTGCTGCACAGGCCAGGTGAGCTGGTCCTCCCATGGCAGGAACTGCGGTGAGGAGGTTCAGTGCAAGCCTTTGCTCAGAGGGAAGGAAAAGGGAGAGTGTTTCAGCTGGGATGAGGGGAACTAGGCCTTGTTTTTGTAGGCTCTGACTACCCGCTTACTACTTTTTTCATGCTTGGAAAGGTTTTAATGAAGTTTATTCTCTCTTCTTCATCTCTTTACTCTGTTTCCTGAATTTGCTGCAATGTGTACCATTCAGATCTTGGGTCCCCCAGTGTAGATGCCTGTAAACCTCTCCCACCTTGATCTGTATGCTCGGTGTCACTCAGAGAGGATGGTACTAAGCCAAACAACCTGTGCGTGACCTGCATCTTAGTGTTCATGGAGTCAAGATGTCTTTCTCGCCCTATGTAGAACATAGATCGAATATGATGGCTTCTGATTTGATGCGGTGCATTGCTTATAAGGTACAAATTGTAGTTTGCAGTTGTTGAAGGTCTGAGCCAGTGAGATGCAGATCTGTGACTGTGTAGGTCACAGATTCTGTGGGTTGCATGGTACTTGGTGTCACAGGAGTGCAGATGGAGAGTGTCCCTTCTGGAAGAGTTCCACTGAAATAGTTCCCAATGCTTCTGCAGGAGGAGGAGGAGGTCAGGAGTTTGTCTGTGACTACAGATGTTACCTCCCTCTTTGAATTTCCTTATTTTCAGGGTGCTGAGAACACCAGATCTACTTTTAAAGCCGTGTAATTCCCTGTTGCTAGTGTCATCCCAAATTTCCTTCAGCTGCACTGAGGCTAAAGTTTGGCCACTGATGTCCTAGGGCACCAGGTGCA